GTCATTTTCCTTTTCTGTCACGTTAGCCAATTTGATGGATGTGAGGTGGTACCTCAGACGTGTTTAAATTTGTATGTAGAGCATTTTTTTTCATATGCCTAGAGATAGTTTTGATTTCTTCTGAAAATTGCTTGTTCATGTCCTTTGACCATTTGTCAATTGGGGAATTACTCCTATTTTTGTAAATTTGATTTCAGTTCTCTATATATTTGAGAAATGGGGCCTTTATCAGAGAAACTTTCTGTAAATTTTTTTTTTGCCCGTTTCCCATCATCAGCTTTCTAAGAGGTTTTTTCTAGGAACCTGGAAAGGACTTTAGAGGAAAATATAATTTCTTATGTTCTTAGAGACACTAAAAAAGTTTTTTAATATACTTCCACAAAATCTAGAATGGAACTCAAATAGAAATAGATCTCAAGGGCCACATATTGATGTAGAAAACCACAAATTAATATTATCTTCATTGTTTTGTATTTTTATTTTCTTAAACATTCCCCAATTACATTTTAATCTGGTTGAGACTGTAATCAGTAGTTTTGCAGGCCACTTGCCACCTGCAGCAAGTTTGACATCTCTGGTCTAGACCATTAGGTTGAAATTAATAAAATGAAATGTGATGGATAACTGAACTTGAGATTTCGTTGGCTTACAGAATTTCTGAGTGAGGAAACTTTCGTTACCAATGCAGCATTGAGATGTTAAATAACTTGCCCAGGGTCATATGGCCAATATGTATCAGAGATAGAACTGGAACCTAAGTCTTTCTGGCTTCAAGACCAGTTTTCTGTCTACTAAAGTTGCCTCTGAAATTTAATAAGGAAAGTCTTAGATTTGAATACAAAAGAAAAAAAAAACCAAAACTTACTAAGCATAAGATGAAGGGAGCATATTTAAACAGAAAAAAAAATGTGGTGTTTTATCTCAAAGATAAAATATTTTAAAATGTAATCTGCAGATTCATTATGAGTTAATAAAATGATATAGCAATCCAAAAAAAAGAAAAAGATTTGAGGTTTCATTAAGAGAAGTGTAGCTTACAGGAATAAGGATTTATTAGTTGATTAGCTAAGTAGTACAGTAGATAGAGCACTGGACCTGGAATTAGGAAAACCTGAGTTCAAATCTGGGTCCCAGTGATCCAAGGCAAGTCACTTGACCTCAGGTCTACCTCATTTTCCTCAGTTTGAAATAGGACTGCCCTAGCCCACAGAGTTGTTGTGAGGATCAAATCAGATTAATATTCACACAGTGCTTGGTGTGTAGCAGGCACTTAATAAACGTTTGTTTTCTTCTTTCCTTTCTACTTTGATATGGTGTGATCTCATCTAGAATATGGTGTTCAGTTCTGGAAGTTGGAAAATATCCAGAGAAAGACAACAAGAATGATTAAGGACCTTGACTCTTGCTAGATTTAAAGTCAGAGGACTTGGATTCAAATTCCAGTCTTCCATTTACAACTGGTATGATGTTGGGCAAGTTACTTAACCTTTGTAGGCTTCAGTTTTCTCATCTGTAAAAGGGATTGGACTAGATGATCCCTCAGGTTTCTTCCAGATCTAAATCTGTTTTCTGTATGAGGGTTAGTTGAGTGAACTGAGATTGCTTAGCCTGAAGAAGAAAATACTCAGGAAAGGTAAGTATTTTTGAAGGCTATATGTCCCTTGTTCTATAAGAGAAATTAATTTGGTTCCAAATTGCAGAACTAGTAGTAATTTTCTTAGACATTACTGAGAAGGCAAACTTACGGCTTGAGCTCGTGAAAAATTTCCTAACAGTTAGAGCTATCCTGAAGTGGAATGAGCTGCCTAAGGAGGATAGTGGTTTACCTCTCACTGGAGAGATTTAAACAAAGATTGAATAATTGTTTGTTGAGGATGGGGATTTTTGGGAGGGGCTTAAGTTGGAATAGATGTCTACCACGGTTTCCTTCTATCTTAAGTTCTACAATGATATTTATATACATACTTCCTAACTTCTGTGTTGAGAAATCTCATGCGATTTAAATTGGTGTTATAGCTGCTGAAGTCACATTGCTTTGGCTGTCAGTGTACATATTGTAACCCTGAACCTGGGGTGGGGAAGTATGAGAATTGTATTTAGAGATAATTTACCAGCCAAATGATGGCATTAGTTTCATTACTTTTTAGCTACTGTATAGTACCTTTCCCTCCTACTCAGGCGTAGAGTCTCAGAATTGCAAGATTATATTGTTAGAAGAGACCTTAGCATGCTCCTAGTGTAACTCATCACCAAAAAAGAATCCCAGCTACAACATGCTCAATGAGTAGTCTTCTGGTCTCTCTTTGAAAAACTTCATATGACAGAGAATTCACTGTTTCCTGTAACAGCAGCTCATTCTTCTTTTTAGACAGCTCTAATCAGTAGGAAGATTTTCTTGATGTCAGGCCTACATTAGCCTCTTTGCAGTTTCTGTACCTTGCCTCTATTAGCATCTTCTGGACCCAAACAGACCAAATCCAATTCGTCTTTCATGTGACAACCCTGCCCATCAAGGACTTGATAGCAGCTATCACATGAATCTTCTCCCAACTCTATTTTTCCAGTTTTATTTTTTTAATTCTCCCCACCCCAGTTTCTTTAACTGATACTTATAAACATAGACTCAAGGTTCTTTCCCCTCTTGATTGCCCTACTTTTTAGCTTCTTAATGGTCTTCCTAAACTGTGGTACACAGAACTGGACGGAGGCCTCTCGATGTCTCTCTACTTTATGCACCTTACTTGGATTTCTCTTGCTTTCCTTCCTGGCACCTGAGCCCTCAGACCTACTGGCACTCAACTTTGAAAGTTTAATCATTAGCTGTGGTTTTAATCATTTGGCAGCTGATGTGTTAGAGGTGTATCTTTTTAATGAAGTACCTTTAAATATTGAACATGATATCTTTTTGTTGTTGAAATGCTGTAAGGATGAGAACTGGAATCTGATCCGAATGTTAGCTGAAATCTGTCTTGTCATGTCACCTAAAGGAAAGGAGTAAGTCATAGGCTTATAGGATTTAGACCTAGAAGGAACCTTAGAGACTATCAAGTCTATCCTCTCTTTACCTTCCAGGGAAAGTGGACTTTCTTATCATCTCCCATCTAGCAGGGAGTTGACTGGGTGCTTGGAATCTAATTTAAGTGTTCTTTCCACAACGTTAGGTAAAATGTGAGGTTTTTGCTATTTTATTCTTCATTTATATGTCATGAGCCTCTTCATATTATATAGGCATAGTACCCTTTTATGTTTTTGTATTGGTTGAATTATGTAGTATCACTTGGAATTTCAGTTCCTAGTCATTCTCTGATATTTTTTCTAGTATTCATACTTACTAAATACAGATTCTCAGAATGTCATTATAGTGTTTGACACTACTATAGACAAGTCTCAATTCCTAGAAATCTGGAAATACAATAGGACAGGGATTTATACATTTAGATTTAGAATGAATGGTGGTAGTGGTTTTTTGTTTGTTTGGTTTTTTAAAGGCAAGTATAAATGAAAGGAAACTTAAGTTGATATATGGGGGAAGGGATTCAGATCTTTGTTTTAATCAGTGCCTGCAGCTCCAAATCCAGAGGGAAACTCATTCCAGTGCTGGTAGATACTTGTTCTGAAACTTGTTTTTGGAAAATTATATGGGAGTACTATGAAAAGGCAAGATTTACCTAGTGAGCCACCGTGTTGGGGCAGCTATTGAATCCAGACCTTCCTGACTCCGGAGGCTTGCCCTCTCATCTCTGCCTCTAAATCACAATATCACCTCTGCTTTAATCATGACAATGCCCATCTGTCACTTGGAATTTTCATATTTGGTTTGGGAAATTGGTATTTGGAAAAACATGTCCCTTTTAAATCTTCTAGCCTTCTACTTCATTGGCAGGTGTCTTTGACATAGGAAAGGTATGTAAAAAGAGAGTTATTTGGTCTTTTTCTTATTTGCCATTGTCATATTTTTTGTCAGATTAGTAGTGCTACATTTATTTAAAACTGAACAAAATTTTAGCACTAGTGAATGAGCTCCAGTCATATAATAATTGCCAGAAAAAAATATTTTACTAACCTCTTTGGATATAAATTTACACTAATTAAGAGGACTATATATTTTTTAAAATATTTGCATTCATAGAAAATGTTTTCATCTTCTTTGTACCTAATATAGAGTGCAGCCTTTATAGTAGCTTTGTAAAGATTTACTTTCTACCAAGTTTTTGATAAGTTGTATTTCATAAATAACACCACAAGGTGGTACTATTGCATCACAAAATGGCCCATCTGATTTCTTGGCCTTTGTAATAAGGTAGCATTTGAATGCCAGAGACAAGATGAGGAATTGTCCTTAGTTAATATATCGTTGTCATTGTTCATCTCAGGTTGATGTAGTTTCCAAGTTTGTTAATCATTGAGCAGAAGCAAATTTGGAATACACTGATGTGCTGAATATTTTTTTAAAAAAAGTATGACCCCAAATTCCTTTAGAAACAGCTTTGTTTCATATAGTTCTGTGCTTGGCCCAGATAATGAGGTTATAATTTACAAAAGGAGATTTAATTCACAAATAAAAAAATACATAAAATGTTTAATGTGGGCCATATTAAAAAGACTTTATTAACTCCATATTTTTGTTTAAATAATGTGCCAGAATTTTTTTTTCCTAATGAATTAGCACCTGGAGGTTAATAAATGATATCACAAGTCTATTTTGATTGCCAGAAAAGACTTTAATAAAGGAAGCTTGACTAGGTCTGACTCTTTAGTTCGTGAAAAATAAGTGTTTTGTTTCCATCTGTCTTTTATTGGATTATCAAAAATAAGTTTTATTAGCATATAGGCTTTTAAAAATTTTTTCACATGTGTGATCATAGGATACAAAAAAGTAAATTTCAACAATTTGTCTATGTTAGATGTCTGTTGTAAAAACTGTGTAAGGTAGAGAGGAGCTTGTTTTGTGGTTTGGGTTTAATTGCATTTTCATTTCTGATTATTTTTTCATTTTCCAGGCTAAAGGGAACTCAGAGGAGGGCTCAAGCTGGAACATACTGCGTGATGACTTTATGATGGGAGCAACAATGAAAGACTGGGATAAGGAGAGTGATGGAGCAGATAACGCAGAATGAAGCTGCAGAAGCAACTGACAAATGACACCATAGAGAAATTGGAATTCTTGATAAATTTATTTTTCTGAATAAAAGCCATCTGAGTTTTACAATATAGAGATGGTAATGCAGATTCTGTTTAAAGAGAAAACAACAGACTACCTTTATTTTCACCAACTTCAAAATTGTTCTTTCACTTAATTTTTTCTTAGTCTACATCAGAATCCAAAACTATTGTCCAAAACAGTTCTAATTTTTAGCATTTCCCCAAAACGTTTTATATATCAAAATAAAACAGTGCCTCTTAATATATTTTGCCAAGTTCATTACCAGTTTAAATATTAGTTGTGAGTCTTGATCTATTCTTGCATTTCCAAGTTAGTAATATGCCTAGAAATGTTATTATCCTAAGGTAATGAAGATGACCTATATTTAATTTTTAATTAATATTTACTGCATAAAGTTTATGCTTCTACAAGGTAGTGTGTGTGTGCTTATTCTGAGTAGATGTCTTTTGTATTTAGTATCATTTTTCTTTTAGAGGGAGTCAGGAAAAATATAGGTAATAAAACATAAAGTTAGAACTATAGTTCTGGCTTTGAGTGATTCAATTTGAGAGCCATGGAAATTTAATTTAAAAAAAAAAATTTACAGACCTGCAAGTCAGGGATTCTTTCTCATATTATGCTCTAGGTTTATTTTAAACATGATATCAGTTTGGAGACAGGACTGCCATTGTTTCAGTTTGCCCCCCCTCAAAAAAAAATCACATGATGTCCTGAAGAGTGGGTGATTTTGTTTGTTTGTTTGTTTGTGGGGATTTTTTTGGAGGGGGGGCAGTATGCTGTTCTTTTCTTACTCTGGTTTGAGTAAAGGAAGAACAGAGTTGACATGTAAGGTATGTTATAAAACTAGAAATATTGATGTAATTCACTGTATGTAGTAACTGCAAAGATTAGTAATTTGGATGACATCAAATGTTTATCAAAGGTGGAAGATAAGTTAGGATTGAATCTATATGGTTTAAAAATATTTGTGAACTTGGCTTATAGGCCAGTTTTTGTATAGGCCAAACACAGGGCTATACTGTGATGATATTGATGCTAAATAATTAAAATTAAAGCTCACACCTTTCATTTCTCTTAACAAACAGTAAAATACAAGAGTGTAAGTTACACTAATTACTCTTTCATACTATTTTGCTTAATTTTTGTGCAAGATTATACTTTTGAATGGTTTATTTGAGAATTTGTGAAGGTTTTGTTTACCATCACAACTGGCTTTTATAAAAAGAAAAGAAATTAAATCAGAGGATTCATAGTTCCTTAATGAAATATTTAACAACTTTGGTCAAGTTAAAATCCATTCCATTCTCTATCATTGCCCACTAAGAATAGTTCCTTTGTTATCCATGACGTACTTGCATCTGGTATATACTGTAGCATAATCTTTCAAAAAAAAAAACCTCTTAAAGCTAATAGCAAAAACGTTTACATTTTCAAGCTTATTAGAGTGTGAAAGATACTAGATATCTAAAGATACATTAGCACATGTCTTGATATTATCATAAAATAATATACACACCCAGAATATCCAGGGCTAAACTTGCAAAGCTCAAGATGCCTTAATCCTCACTTCTGATCGCTTAACATCATTAAATTGTGGAACTGGTATCTTCTTAGTTATAACATAAGCAAATATATTGTCACTATTAATATAACTAGAATTCAATAAGTAAAATTATGAAGTTCTAATAGAGGTTAACATGGCACAGTTAATGGTGTGTCACTTTCCTTATAGCACCCAGAGCTTTATGGTTTTGTTTTTTCATTAGTCTTTTTAAGTTCTTGAAGTACATGGTCTCTCTTATGCCACTAAGCTCTTAAAGTAAGCAAGCGTTCTGTTGAAAATCAAATTAATATGCCAGAAGCTGGTGAGTTTTAATTTCTTGTTCAACAAAAAGTTGTTTTGAAGGAGCATATCAAGAAGCTGTGGTTCCCTTTTTCAAAGTGATAAGTAGTTGTGCAGCTTACCAGCAAGGGAGAGGATCACTTTTTGGAAATTGTATTCCTTCACATTTGAAGCAGATCTTAATCCTTAGAAATCTCCTCTAGAAGAGGGCAGAACATGCTATGGTGCTAGTTTTGTCTTAGGTTCTTTATTACTTTTTTAAAAGGAGAATTGATTTGCCACTTACACAGAAAGTATACCAACTAAGTAAAATAAGACACCTCCTGGGTGGAGCACACACATGAGGTACATGAACAGGTTTTACCTCAAGGACTGAAAGTTTTCTGCATTTGTGGAGATTGGTCAAAAGACTACCTGGTATGAAAATGAACCTAGCAATGGATGTCATGAAAAAAAAAACAAAAATAGAGCTAAAGGTTTTTTTTAGCTGTTCCCATCTATATCCATGTCACAAAATTGTATTTACTAAGGATTTGAATTCCATCATTAATCATGGTAGAGAGGAGGGGTAATGAAATGGTTACATTTTTTTTTCCATAGGAATGCATTAGTTACCTCTAATGCTTTAGATACCTTTTATAAATCCAATTTTATTGTCACACTTCAGGGCAGATTGTTATAAATCATTTATTCAGCTGAATATCATAATGTTAGAACCACATTTCTTTTTGTACTTGTTTAGTTCAGCTTGGTGGTAGAAGCTGATTTATTTTGTTATAAAGCTTGAGGACATAGTAACCGTAACTTTTGAGTTATGCTTATATATTTGCTTATATATTTACAGGGAAGCATTCTCAGCATTGAGTGTCATTTGATTACTGTTAACTTATTAAGCAATAATCTAGAAGTCCAAATAGTAATGCCTTTTTTGGACATGAAATATGTTTCAAACAAGTCATTTTGACAATCATGTGGCAGATTGTCCAGTTATATGTATAGAGGCAGTGTGACATAGTGGATAGCAGGCTGACTTTGGAATCAGGAAGACCTGTGTTCAAGTTCTGTCTCTGGCATATAACTAGTTATGTGACCTTGGACAAATCACTTAACTTTTAGTGCCTCAGGCATTTCTCTAAAACTTGAAGTTACTGATAAATTGCCTGGCTTCATCAGTGGACAGAATTTACATATTATTGGGAAATCGAAATATACAGATCTTGGACCATCTTTCTAGTTCCCTATCAAAAAAGACAAAAATTACTAGCTGTGTGACCCTGGGCAAGTCACTTAACACCAATTGCCTTAAAAAAAAAAAAAGACAAAAACTTTACAATACAGTTGAAATTACTTGAGTACTGAATTTAGTTTCAAATTCTTTACTACGTAAGTCCAATGTTAATATATTTTTTTAACCAAAAGTATATTAGGTACAGCTTCATTAGCATGAAGTAGAACATTAAATAAATCAGAAGGCACATTGGTAGGTAGGAAGATTTGAAGGTAAGGCTATCCATAAAAACAGCTAATATGTAGCCACATGCCATGGCTGTAGACTCAACTGCCATTCCTAACCAGTCATTTTACAATAGTATGGTTGTCCTTGAGAAGATTGGGTTAAATTTATGGATGATCAAAAAGGCATTAGCCAACCTAAATACATATTTTAAGTAATCTGACATTTTTATATGTATTTTCCTCCCTGTAAATAGTAATTTATATTTTTGTAAAACTTTTCTTTCTAAATATCAGTACCAATAAATTTGTTGAAATTTAGTTCTGTGTTCTGAGTGAAATGCACTTGGGTTCTTGGATCCCTAATCATCCTCTTAACTGAGCCACTCTTTGTGGAGAAATAAGAACCAGTTTGCTTTGCTTGTAGTTCCTCTCTACACAGAAGATAGACAGTCCAACCTAGGTAAGAGGTTTGGAAATAAAAGCTTCAGTGATATTCTCTTCTTCCAAATCATTTGCAAAAAATTAATGAGAAATATACATATATATGTATACATAACATGCATTTATATATGTGTGTGTATAAAATTAAGACATCATCTAGAACCTTTAATGGTAACTTATAACATTATCTGTCTCTGAAAAGAGACCTCACAAATATAAATTCAAATCTCATAAAAGACCTCAGATTGGGTATAATAATTAACATTTCTAATGAACAAAAAAATCAGTTGAAATTCTTTGTAAATATGTGCTAGAAAATTCAGTGTTAATGTTTTCTGCGTGTAAAACTAAGATATGATTATCATTTGCTGTATTTGCATCACTTAAACCTACTGATAGGTCATTTCACAAAATATTTAAAAGTGGTTATTTTTTGTTCCTTTAAAATTGTCATATGTATTTTGATAAGTGAGCAAATATTTGAGGATACATATTGCTGGATTTTTGCCACATTTGTTTTCATCCTTTTGAGTGACAAATGTCAATTAAATAGGCTATTTGAACAATAAGCTGACATCTCCTTACTGAAACCTCTCAGTGGAACATAAAAGTTATCACAGTATAGCCTCTACTGGGCTTTAAGCAGGACCATGTATTTGTTTTATTCACTTGTTATCCAGACTGTCATTGAATATATAGATAACTCATTACACATCTAATTGGCTCTCTCCATTCTGTTCTTTGCAAGTCACTTTATAAGTCCCACACTTTATTTTGTGTTCCAAAATGTGGCTCTTACAGTCTTTCATAGTTTCTTGTTTGAAGCATATGTATATGTTCCACCACACAGTTCAGATGTGGATTTATTCTTTTCATCCTAGAAGGGATTTTAAAATAATCTGTTAAATGAGTACAAACCTCAGAGTAACATTATGATACATGAAATTCACGTCTTCAAAGGCAACATGATATAGAGGTAGAGACGTAGTCTCAGAGTCAGGAAGACCTGGGTTCAGAAACCCTACCCTGAACACATACTGAGTTAACTGCTCAGTGCCCTAAGCAACTCATTTTAAGTTTCAGAACAGTTACTGAAATTTTATTGGCGGAGGAATTTTCTTTACCAAAAGTTCTCTACACTGATGAAATCACAGGTCCACAGCAAGAAGATAATTTTCGCAAGATTATAGACTTAGAACTGGAAAAGACCTTAGAAGTCATCTAACCCTTTCAGTTTACAGATGAGGAAACTGAGGTCCAGAGACATTAGGTCACTTACCAAAGGTCTCAGAGTTATTGAGCGGCAAAGTAGGGAGGCCAGCCCAGGCCCTCTAACCCAGAATTTAATGTTCTCTATCGTACATCTCATATAAAGACCAACATGAACCTTATTTTTTTTTCCAAAGTCATTGACCACAATTTAAATTCCTTTAAAAAAATTTCTCTGACTCAAGTTTAATTTCTACTGCAGTTTGTTATGTCGAAGGCTGCATGAAATAAATAGGCCATCTCCTGGAACTTGGAAGGGTTTTTTTTGTTGTTTAAAGAGAGCTTTTTGTTGGAATCATATTTGTTATAGTGGGATTTGCCCTATACTTGAACCAGGGACTGGGATACAGCAGATTGTCAAGGACTAGAATGAATAAATATGGCCTGTAGCAACCTTTTTCAAGTATATGTTATTTGGGGAATAGTCTTAATTGAGGATATAGAATTCACTTTCTGCTCATACTTTAATGGTCAGTATGATTGACACATGTCCCCATATTGCATGTCAGTTATAGGTAGGGGGAATATTTTAGGGCCTGCAGATATTATGAGAGACTATTTGAGGTGAATTGGCAGTAAGATGAAATTTTGAAACTGAAGAGAGAACCATTCTGTGCCTACAAAAAGCTCTCTCATTCCCTCCCCAAGAAAACAGGAGTCTGAATTATGGCCAGCTGGGTAGATGAATCTTACTGACTATTCAAGGCAGAGGTAGGCCCTGTGAGTTTCCCTCTTGATCTTAAAGTCTGTTATACTTTGCTGCAAAAGAGCAAGGTTTTTCTGAAGTTGAAATTCTGATGGGCACAGAGTCTCCAGCCAGCTTTGAAAATAGCATGTTGTGAAGTTTTTAAAGTAAGGAGCGACATTAAAGATTTTGATTTATGTATTCTAGCAAAGTATAACATTCAATTTTTTTTAAACTAGAAAATTTGTTCTAGTAATAGTTGGCATCTTGTGTTTTGCTGAAGATTGAAGGATTTTCCTTATCAGCTGTTCAGTTAGGTGAGGCATTCAGATATGACTTAGTAACAGCTGTTAGGTACAGTACCTTTGAAGAAACTCTTTAAAGCTGGATTTTTTTCTTTTGTGATTTTTGTTTGAGGTTTTTCCTACTGGCCACACCCCAAGGAGGTCCTTGACACAAGGACCAAGAAATAATTATATATTTTTTCAAATATGTAGTTTCAAATACTTTTTCATGCTCAGCCATGGATTCTTTGGATCAGAATGCAAAGGATTGCTTTCATTGTGCTTTTGTGCCTTTTTTGAAGCTCTTTTATCCAATTCATTCATCTTTATCTACTTCTTTCCCCCTTACTTTCTTCTAATAAAGTAACTGAACAAGCACCCTGAATGTATAATTACCTCATCTTTGGCATTTGTTTTTGGTTTTTTCTTGAATTTGATTTTTATCCCATATAAAGTAAATGAATAAATTTTATGGAAATGCTACATTTCTACATATATTTAAAACTATTTTGATTGTGTGCAATTTTGACTTTTGACTCGGAAATATTGTAGAGACAGAGTAGGATGATGGAAAGAATGCTGGACTTGGAGGCATAAGACCTGAACGTGTTACCAAAAGCAGATCGCCTAAGCTTTCTGAAGCAGTTTCCATGCCTGTAAAGTGGGCATACTATTTGTACTGTCTACCTCACAGGGTTAGTATAAGTAGATACTAATTTGCCTTAGTCAAAATACAATGAAAAATGCAGTTAGAAATGATGGGATTTTTATATGTAGCAAAACAAATGAATTTTCGTGCCATCGAAATGCCTTATGAAGTTTCAAGGAACAGTATTGAAAAATGATTCAACTTTATCAGTTGTATTTAAGGTCTCTTGTACAGTTGATATTGAAGGAGGGGTGTTTAAAGTTTTTGCTAATTATTTTTAATTATTTACCGAGTTTAGGATTCATTGTTTCCATGATGTGCAGTATTTAACTAAAATCACAGAAAGTTAGAGCTAGATAGAACCCTAGAAATATATTTAAACATCACCTTTCTTCTACATCCCCTAAAAACACTATGCCAAACTTAAAATTTCCTCTGTACTCCAACAGAAATGAGGCCCAGAAACAGTGTAAAATGGGAGCTACCATGCAACAGATAATAGACTCTATGACTTCTGGACTACCTTCCCAGTCACTGGATTCTCATGTTAGCATTGAACTTGAACCAAAGAACAATTATTTAGGTCTTCTGAGAGATTGGCTCAGTTGTGGGCCTCAAGTTCTCCAACAGCTCCACTCTGTCCATCACACTCTATATCATACAGGGAATACAAGTGTGGGTTGCATTTTGGGGCAAGAGAAACCCCAGAAAACAAAAAGCACAATGAGCAATATTAACTTAGATTAAAGTGATGAGGTGTTAACCACATTTGTATAAATAACATTTTCTCCAACCTCTGGATCATTACACTGCATTTCTAATGTAATCGGTTCATAAATATCAAAGCGGGAACACCACATTTGTATGGGGTCAGGACCAACTGGAATTCTGAATGGAGAGACAGCTGAGAGCTGTGTCCTGAGACGTGGGTGGCCTCTGCAGCTGTTGATCCATCTTTGAGCTGCTTGGGGGTTGCCTCTTTGCTCTTGCAGAACCAGAATTTGGCCTGAAGTCAATTCATAGCCCGGCGTGGAATTGATAGAAGCAATGGATTGACCTCAACTCTCAAAACTGCAGTGAAACAGCCAGACACAGCAGTGACTGAAACATTGTGCAGTACCAAATGCAATCTCAGAATCTTTCCTAAATGATGATGTTTGGTTTTGCACAATATCTGTCCCCTTAGTGTGTTGCAAATGTAAAAATGCATCCTCCTAGGACTCGGGGTGAGTGTTTTCTGTGACTTGTAAGTAGAGACAGTCACCACACCAATATTCACCTTTAAATAAGAGGGAAATTGATTTCGTGTATTTAGTTGTGAAATAAATTATGGGTTCCATATTTACATCTGACATTGGTAGCAACCTTAGTGATGTTTGTTACTTTGTGTCATGTTAGAACAAAATGCTTGTTATATATGTTAGGTTTCCCTGGGAATTTTTGCCATAGGTAATTATAAATGAAACCTATGTACTTTTCAAATTGTTCAAAAACAGAATGGAGAGTTACACATTGTATCTTGAGGTTCTCTCCCATGTGTGTTTTTTTTTCCTGCAGATAAAGTAATTTTTTGAAATCCCACATCGTTATTGAACAGCGCTTATAAGGCTCCTTCTTTGATTTGGTTTTAGGTATTTGTTATTTTAAATTTTTATTTATTTTGTCAAAATACATGGACTGTTGGATAATAAGAAATTTCTGACAGTGAATAAGAGACTTCTAGGTCAACCTGAAAAGGCAAGTCTGAGGCTTAGAGGGGGAAAAATATATCAGGATTCCTCAATAAGTCATTGAATCAAATAACAAAAAGACAATTTAAAGCTGCTTTTGATTTTTTTTCCACCTTATCGACCTTTATTTTTGGAACCTCCACATTTAAATTATCCTTTTTCTTACCCATGACCACTTAAGGATTGATACAGGAGGTACTGGCATTGACACTAGCTTGTAGGTACATTTTGATTTTGCACTTTGCATAATCAGTTCTAAT